CCTCCTCCGCTGTCCACAAATTAAACCACTTCCTTTCCTCAAAGTCCGTTTCCTTTTACTGGCTGAGGGAAATGGAGGCCGGAGTTCGCTCACAGAAGGAGCAGATGCCCCCCAAGGCCAGGTCATTTATCACCACCACTTCCCTCCTCCGCACCCCACCATCTCTAACGCCTGCGGGTGCCCCCTCTTGTGCCCACACCAGGGGTGGCCCCTGGGGACTCCTACAGGACCTACGTCCCGCTGTGCAGGGAGCTGAGAGCTGCAGGCGGGTCCTCCTGCCCCACGACCCTCAGTGACCCGGGACGAGAAGTGTCTACGCAGCCTGCCTGGCGCACAGTGTGGGAAGCTCCTCCCTGTGGTCAGCTCATTTTGACCGCCCCATCTTGACTCCATCGGGGCTTCCTCAGCCTGTGCCCCCAGATCCGCCACTCCCCCGCGATGCTGCCACCGCTGCTGCTGCCCCTGCTGTGGGCAGTGAGTGGGGGAGGGGAGGGGCCCGGGTGGGGGCTGCACTGACCCTCGTCTCCCCGCAGGGGCCCTGGCTCAGGAGGAGAGATTCTGGTTGCGCCTGCAGGAGGAGCGGGTGACGTGCAGGAGGGCAGTGCGTCCTCGTGCCCTGCAACGTCTCCTACCCCAAGGAGCACGGCCCAGCTTACGGCTACTGGTACAGGGACAAGGGAGAGTGTCAGGGTACACAGGGTGACCTGGTGGCCACAAACGACCCAAATGGAAAGGTGCATGAGACCCAGACCCCGCAGCGATTCCACCTACTGGGGGGCCCCTGGAACGACAGCTGCTCCCTGGACATCAGAGACACGCGGAGAGGGGACACGGGACCTACTACTTCAGGGTGGAGAGAGGGGGTCATGTGAGACATAATTACTGTGATCAGCGGCTCTCTGTAAACGTGACAGGTAAGGGCCGGGTGCAGGAGGGACACACGGGAGGGTCCTGAGCGCCCGGCCGAGGATGGAGGGGCCCATGTCTTCACCTCGTGAGGGACCCTAAGATCCGCGGGGAAAGGACCCGGGTGGGCGGGGACGGGTGGCCTGACACAGGCTGCCCCTGGGGACGCTCAGGTCCTGCTCCAGGCCGTGTCTGTCCCCCCAGCGCTGACCCACAGGCCGGACATCCACCTCCAGGGCCCCCTCCAGTCCGGCCGGCCCAGGAACATCACCTGTGCGGCGCCCTGGGCCTGTGAGAGGGAGACACCCCACCACCTTCTCCTGGACGGGGGTTGGCCTCGGCGCCACGAGCACCGACTCCCCGGTGCTCACCCTCAGCCCGGGGCCCCAGCACCACGGCTCCAACCTCACCTGCCGGGGACCTTCCCCGCAGTGAACGTGAGCACAGAGACCACCGTCCGGCTCAGCGTGGGCTGTGAGTGTGGGGCCCAGATGCCCGGCCTGAGGGGTCCCCAGGCAGCACATGTAGGAAGGGAAGACACGGGGTCTGGGGTCTGGGCCCCGCAGATCCTGCCAGGAGGAGGGAAAGAGGCCCCTGGCTGTATCCTCCATGTCTCATGCTCCTGGGGGAAGGCCAGCTGACGGAGAACAATTCTGTCTGTCTGTCCAGATGCGCCCCAGAACCTGACCATCCAGGTGATCAGGGAAGAAGGTTCAGGTACGGAGTGAGGTTCCCTCTCTGGGATGTGGGGAAGTGGGGTTTGTCCCACCCTCCATTCAGAGCTGGGGTCTGACAACACACATGGGAGACAGGTCTTTGTCAGGAGGGGTAGCAGAGGTGGGAACCCCCATGGGCTCTTCAGCTCATACATGGGCTCCCCTGTGCTGACTCTGCTCCCTGGGGTGTCCTATGCTCTGTCCTTGTCTGATGATGTGCTTGTCCCTGGTTCCAGGCCTACATCATCCTCCCCAATTCTGCCCTCATGCTCCTTATGATCTGTCCTCCTCCTTAGCATCTCCCTCCTGCTATAACTTACTTTTAAAATAATGACCATAAAATTGGCCTGAGTCACAGCAGGGGCTGCAGAACACAATGCCACACAGGAGGTGATCAAACCTCACAGGGTGAACCCTAATAAAGTCCTGAAATCTCTCTCCAGGGCCTGAAGCACTGGGCAATGGCTCCTCTCTCCCGGTGCAGGAGGGCCAGTCCCTGCGCCTGGCCTGTGTGGTCCACAGCAGCCCTCCCACCAATCTGACGTGGGTCTGGGGGAGCCAGACGGTGAAGTCCTCTCCAAGCCTACACTCCGTGGGTGCGGTTGGCACATGGGAGCACCCCCAGACCCTGGAGCTGGAGCTGGCCAGGGTGCGCCTGGAGGACCACGGGAAACTCCTCTGCTGCGCTGAGAACCCCCTGGGCTCCCAGGAGGCCTCCCTGAGTCTCTCTGTGGAGAGTGAGTCAGCACCCCCGGGGCTTCTGCTGCCCAGAGAGGGGAGAGGCTGCTCTGATGTCCCCATCACCCCCACAACACCCCCCTCATCCCTCCCCTCAGTGCCCCCACCCCCCAGCTGCTGGGCCCCTCCTGCTCTGCTTTAGCCCCGTGGGACCCTCCCTGTGCTGGCGGCTGGGGGAGCAGCAGAAATGCCTTCACCCAGGTCATCTTCAGCCTCTCGGGGCTCTGGGCCAACAGCTCCCTGTGCCTCGGCGGTCTGAGATGTGAGGCCGGGATGCTCTTGGGAACGGGGATACCTCTGTCCCCCTTCTCCCAGGTGGGCTCGTCCGGGGGAGAGCACAGGACTCTGCTTTCTGGGGACACAGAGGGAGGAGGCCTGCCTCGCAGCCACGGGACACTGTTCGGGGTCCTCCTCACCTCTGTGAGGGGCAAAGTCCAGAAGGGAAGTGGGCACTCACGGGTCGTGGAGTCCACTGGCCTAGGTGCCCGGCACCTGCTGAGGGAACTCGGGGTCACCCAGGTCCTCTGTTGCAGGGGCACCAGGAACCTGGATGTGGTTCATTCTGGGGGCCGTCGGGGGAGCAGGAGTCTCAGCCCTGCTTGGGTTCTGCCTCGGCATCCTCATGTGAGTCGGTGTCCCTTGAAGACCTTGAAGCCTGGGAGGGGGCTGGGGTGGTGGGAGGAGGGGACAGGAAGAGGCCAGAGCTCCCTGCCCAGGGCTGGCGCCCTGAGAGGTGAGTCAGGGGCTGTGATGCTGAAACGCCCCAGTGAGTCTGCCCCCTGGGGTCTCTGCCCAGAGCAGCCCCCACCCACCCCCACCTCCCAGTTGAGCACTGGCTGAAAGGCAGGTCTCCTCCACAGAGTGAGATGCTGCTGGAAGAAAGGGACCCAGGAGGCAGCAGGGAGCAGGCCAGGCCCCAGGCCGCAAGGAGAACCCCCGGGGTGAGTGACTCAGGGTCTTCTGCAGGCTCAGGTCAGCCTGACCTCTGGGGCTGTGCCTGGGGCTCTGTCCAGGGCAAAAAGGGTTCCCTGCTCACACCCCGTTCCTCCCCTGGCCTCCCTGAGCTCTTGACCCAGAGACTGAGCCTCCCTCACCCCTTCCTGGGATCCCAAGTCCAGGTCAGGGCCCCTCAGGGCAAATCTTTTCCTTCCCATCCCCCTTCCCCACTGAGCCCTCTGAGCCCCCGGTTCTCTCAGGGTCCCTGGCTCCCCCCCACACACCACGCCAGCTCCCCTCCCCAAACAAGCTCTGGCAAGAAGCTCCCCAACAGCTGTCACTCAGCCCCAGCCCTGCCGCCCCCACATCCAGGTGGGGCAGAAATGCCCGGAGCCTCCTGCAGGGCTATCACTGTCCCGCGGGCACTTTAAAAAGTGGACACACAAGGTCAATTTTAATATAATAATTTATTTCACCCAGGTCCACAAATATCGTTCCCAACATTACATCTGTATTCAGTGTTCTAGTTGTGAACGAGTGACTTTTTTTTTCCGTGTAAGTCTGTGAGAAACAGGCTCACGTCAGGCGTGCAGGCTCCATTCTGATGCCCACATCTCCTGTCCTCGCTGGCTGCACGGGTCTAGGCACTGACCACAGGTCCACATTCCTGTTCCTTCTCCTGTGATTAGTCGGCCACCCAGGCCACTGCGCTGCCCTCACACCCCAACTTGCAATTAGAGAAGCTTGTGTGGGGATCAGGGGATGCCCCCCCTTGGCCTGCAGGCGCCCCAGGTCTGGTCTGTGTGCTGGGGAGCATGGGGCACTCCTGTGTCTGCATGTCTTAAAATGGGGCGATGATGACATCACCCAGGCAGGGGTGGGGGTTCAGGAGACTAGTGATAAGAACAAGCCATTATGATGAGAATCTGTTAGAGGTGAGAATGGGTGAGTGTGTGAGTGAGTGTGAGTGTGTATGAGTGTGTGAAGGACCCTCAGGAGTGGGTGTGACTGGACAAGGAAACAGATACCGCTGAGCCCAGGTCCCTTCTCCAGACCCTGAGGCTGACCCTGAGCCTTATCTCGTCCCTCTCAGGGGCACCAGGGTGGATCCTGGGCTGACAGCCCCCCACGCCCCCAGGGCCCAGCGGAGGCCCCCTCAGAGGAGGAGCAGGAGCTGCATTACGCCAACCTCGCATTCCTCAAGGCAAGCACCAGGGCCTTTCTGGTCCAGGAGACCCCTGAGTACGCCGAGGTCACCGTCCGACATGGAGCCGCCCTCTCCTGACACCTTCCCGACGCTGGAGCCCCAAAAAGGCCTCTCTGAGGACAGCGGGTCCTGCGCTTCCTGCAGAGCTGCCGCCTCAGGGAGGTGAGAAAGGCGAGCTCGGGGCTCCTGGGACAGATGGAGCCGGAGCTCCCGGGTCACGCCCAGCCCAGCCGCTTAGACACGCGTCCCCGTCACTCTCTGGCCTCAGCTCCCTCCGCTGTAAAGTGGGTGCATGTGCACAAGGCGGGAAATGCACCCCGAGTTGCCGACTGGGCAGCTCCCCCCTCTCCTCTGCGGCCCTTCTGTTGGCTGTTTTAGGAGCGTGTGCGAGTTCACAGTGTGACTCTGTTTCTCAGTGTAACGCTCTGGGGAGACCAGTTTCCTCATCCAGCTAAACCTGCACATAAACCCCGGGCTGGGCTCTGAGACCTCCCCAGTGTCTAAAAGGACAGAAGTAGGGGTGAGATCGCCAGTGTCGCTAAGTGAGATGAGTCCCCCCAGACAGGCCAGCACCCCGTGAGCTGCAACAGGAGGCCCTGGAGGAACCAGCCCTTAGAGCCGGGGCCAGACCGGACCCGGGAGGGGACAGGAAGCTGCTCGTGGAGGTTCAGCCTTTCAGTTTTGCAAAATGAAAACCTTCTGGAATCTGGTGGGTGACCGTGGGCCTCTGGTTACCCCCGAAGCACATACTGGAAAATGCCGAGGTGGTAAATGTAATTTTTTCCCCTTAATTAAGCAAAGTAATAGATGGGGGTGACCAGGAATGGGGCTGGGGCCCCTCAGGGGAGCTCATAGTCAAAGGCTAGAGAACCAGGTTAGGCCACAGCAGCCCCCCATCCCCACCCCATCTCTGGCTGCTCCTCCCACAGACCACTGAGTAGGCCACTTCCTGAATCGGGGAGTCAGTTTCTTCTCCCATCCCCCTTTCTCCTGGCCCACTTCTAGGAGTCACCAAGTCCCTCACCTCCCCCCTTCTCTCCACCCCTAGTTTAGACCCTCCCCCCCACTCCTGACCTTTCAAACAGCACCCCCCAGGCTCAGGGCCTCAGGCTCACTTCTTCCAGCCTATCCTCCCCTTCAGCTGCACAGGGAGAGGTCGCAAATGCTCACCTCCCACCTGCTAAGCATCCTTCCACGCCTGCCCCTGCAGTGCAGCTGCATTGTCAGCTCCAGTGAGCCTTATTCCAGAATGTTCACAATCTCACCACCATCCACCTCCCCCTCCCCCCCAACCCCCACCCCCCCCAGCCCCCCGCCTCTGGGCCACCACCTCTCACACACCTCGGCGGCACCCCAGCCCATTCCCGAGGATCTCACCCTCCTTCCCACCTCTCCATTCCTCCCCCGTGTGGTTCCACCCACGGCAATGTCCTCTCTCCATGTTTGCCTCACAAGGTTGTCCTTGGAGCCCCAGCTCAGGCGGCTCCTGCTCAGGCCTGTGCACTCCCTGCCTCACCCCTGCTGCGCTTCTCTAAGGGCTGGACAGGACCGTGACTGTTAATCTCCCTGCTGCTGCTAACTGACCTTCTAGAGCAAAATGATTCTTTGGGGGGCGCTAAGATATGCCAGGTGTCAGAGAGGTGCAGCGAGACCTCAGACTGCGAGCCCCGGGACTAGGGCCTCCTTCTGCCCTCACAGACCAGCCAACAGAATGACCACCGGGCTCCAGTTCTTCTTTTCAAGTCGCCATAAACACCAGGCCTTCGCTCAAAACAGTAGTTTCAAAGCAGTAATGGACATTTCAGTTCCTTTGCATCGTGTTCATGGAGGGACCCTTGGGAACACCCTCATTTTCTCTCCATTCTTTGTTCTCCAAACTCTTACTGCAAGCCAGCCACAAAGGGGGATGTCCAGTGTCAAAGGAACGAAATTCACACGGTGGGAGGTGGGAGGAGACAGAAACGTGTAACCTCGTAAAACACAGTGTGGTGCGGCTCTGTATCGCTCCAGGACTAGAGCTGTGACTCTGCCCTGGGGTGGGGAGGGAGTTAGGAAAGGCTTTTCAGGGGAAGCTCCCATTGGGGTGCACACCGTGGAGAAAGCAGGAGTTGAACAAGCAAAGAAGAGAAGCATCCCAGATAGAGGTGGCGACAGGCACAAAGCAAGGAGCTGGAAGAAGTCTGGTGTTACCTCATACGCCTGGGCCGTGGCAGCAGGTGTCTCGGCCAAGGAGACAAGTGCGGGTCATGCACCAGTAGAACTCGGGCTGGGGTCTGCTCTCCCAGGGCCCCGTAGCCAGGCTGGGGGACTTGATTCTTCAACTTGCCACATCAAAAATAAATTTGGGGGCCTCCCCGGTGGTGCAAGGGGTTAAGATGCAGCACTATGAAGCTATCTGCAGCCACTGCGGCACGAGTTCGATCCCCGGCCAGGGAGCTACCCACAGGGCGCAGCAGACCTCTTCTAGCTCCAGGCTGCTGCCCTCAGCAGTGTTTTCATTGGATCCACCGGTTCTGTTACCCACTCTGTCTCTGGCGAATCCTCTCACCGACCCCCCTGTAGGGTAAAGAAAATATCAGGCTTTTCTGCCCTTCCGCCATCAGGATAGATGATGGATCCTTGTCCTGAATGCATGCCTGATGGCGGGCACCTGGAATAGGGTGTGGGCATAGGTAGATGGGATTCAGCTGAGTTAAGACTGTGCTTTTAAGGGCGGCATCACGGGGGGACGCCAGCAGCCCCAGCCAGCAGCAGCAGAACCTGAAGGAGAAGCCGAAGCAGAAGCAGAGAACGCCAGAGAGCTCAGATAGAGTAAAGACTTGCTGGGGGCTGGGAGGCTGGCAGGCCTCCCAGCCCCCCAGCCAGCACCCCTGCCTGCCATATGCCTGGTGAACCCCAATAAAAGACCTGCAAAACCACTGAGGACTCTGACTCCTCCTTTACCCGGTCTGCATGATCCCAGAAAACCTGCACTGTGCCCGGTCCGGCCCTTACACCCCCCAACACACACCCCTCTGGCCTGCACCCCAGTGCTTGTGTGCATAAATAAGTAAATCTTTAAGAAATTTTTGAAAAAAAAATTTTTTCAAACAAACCACCTAACTTTAGACATTAAAGAAGAACAAAATAAACCAAAGGCGACAGAAGGAAGGAAATAATAAAGATAAAAATGGAGATAAACAAAAGCCAACAGAAAAGCAAAAAGCAAATTCAACAAGAACACAAGTTGGCGCGTGGAAGGGAACGCTCGCTACTGATTGGTTGAACCTCGCCAGCTCACCCCGCCCTCCCGCGCGCAAAGGGAGGCGGAACATGCGCTGTCCGCTTCCAATTGGCTCCCCTGGCTGTGCATCAGCTCCAGCTGCCTCATTGATTGGCTGTAACAAGGCGTGTGTGCAGCCACGGATTGGTTGCCGCCAACACGCATCTCGCGAGGCGGGCTGAGGAGACCAGGTGATTCCCCCTGTGTGGCACACCTGCGGCCATCGCGCATCCTCCCCCATCGCCGCTGGCCGAGGCTGGCTGGCCCTCTCGTGGCCACGCCTGGCCTGTGGGCCTGCTTGGCCATCCCTGGGTGTGGGTCTTGGGCCGGAACCGCCTCAACGGGGCTTCCATGCCTGGGGTTTCTCTGTCAGTCAGCGTGGCCTCGGGCGGGTAGGCCACGTCACTGCCGCGCCGGCGCGCCGCTCCCGCCTGGGCGCCCCGGGAGCCCCGTGGTCGCCCAAGCCGGTCTGGGTCAGTCAGCAGGCCCGGCCTCCTCAGGGCCAGTCGGCCCCGGTGGGCCACAGTCGGCCCCCTGGTCAAGGTGACGGGCAGCGCGGGTCACCCGCTTACCGAGAAGGCGCCCGAGTGGCCTGGTGATGGATGGTCAGGTCGGGCCCTCCGACGTCACGGGCCTCGTAGTGCTTGGGCCATTCGAGCAGGTAATCTCCCCTTTAGTCCATTCATGGGGATCCCCCAGAAGGCACCCGTCAGGGGACAGCCTGCCCAGGCTTGTGAGCCAGCTGGTGGGTCTGACTGTCAGGCCTCAGTTTCCTAGAAGCCAGCCTCCCGGCCTGCCGCGCTGGTCAGTCACCCAAAGGGCCCAGCCCCTGGCGAGTCTGGGGGCGCCGGGCACCGCCGGCTGCTGAGGACGGACGCAGAGGGTGCGCTGGGGCCGGGAGGCGCCCGAGCCCTTGGAACCAGCCTCCAAGGTAATGCTGAGAGAAGTGAGGAGCCTAGAAAATTTGGGGAAGAAGAATAAAAAGGGGTGCACGAGAAGGCACCCCAGCTGACTGAAGCCTGGCAGGCAAGAGCAAGAAGTGAGGATTTGGGGGCCTCCCCGGTGGCGCAGCGGTTGAGCGCTCTGTTGTAAGCTGCCCGCCCCTCTGCAGCGCCAGTTCCATCCCCGGCTGCTCCCCAGCCACCGGAGGAGGGCCCACATGGCGCGCAGACCTCTCCTGCCGCCCCGCTGCTCCCCTCAGCAGTGTACTTCGGTCCTTCTGCCTGCTCTGCTCCCCGCTCTGGCTCTGGTGAATTCTCTCACCCTCCCGCGCTTCTGACTGTACCCAGTACTTATATAAATAAATAAAAAGAAAAATAAATCTTAAAAAAAAAAGTTAAAAAAATTAACTGAAAGTTTGAATTTTTGTGAAATATACATGTTTTAATAGGTTGTCTTACCAAGACTGACTAGCAAAAGTACACATTTAGTAGGCCCAACAGCCTGTTGATATGTCACGTTCAACTCTGGTACCACTAGTTGGCAATCCCTGAATCATCTTCCAGAAAGGGGAGACAAACATTGGGTCTTCTGTCTTCCGGGCCTCTTCTAAGAAGAATCTAGAACCCTTCTGAAAGGAGGGAAGAAAGAGGAGAAGGGAGAAAGAAGCAGGTTGTATGTTCCATCAGGTCATAGCTGTGAGCTCACTGCTGTGCAGTTGCCAACTATTTCCCTATGTATTTCACCAACCCTGGGGGGTGGGAGAGCTGATTTATTCCCATCTTTTATTCAGGAGGATGGATTCTCCGGGCTTACGCTGCAGTTTTTAAGAGAAGATGGTGTCAAGGAGAGGACACTGCTGAGATTCAGGTTGAGT